TACCCCCACAACCTGCTGTATTCATTTACTTTCTCGAAAGGGCCTCTGCAAGCATTTGGATTGGTGACTCATGGGACAAAAGAAAGATAGGTGGTCTCGGGGGATGGGGTAAGAAATTTAGATGAGATGATGCTTCCTCTCTGGAATTGCTACAAAACTCTGTAGGTACTTAGGATTGACCGTTTTTGTTGTTGTTTTAAACAAAAAGTGATTGTTTGACTATTTTATATTTGCTTAACACCTATGTATGTAAATAGAACTACCAAGTATTTTGGTTGAATATGGACACAACTGAGTAATGGATGCATTTGTTTTCAAGTGTGATGATAAGAGACTATTATAGAGCATAGTTTTAGCGACGTGAGTGGTAAAATTATTGGCTATCAGGAGTTTTACATTTTTGAGTTTGACAAGTTATCAATGGATATAGGTATGCATGTTTTTATACCTCTTGATCTATGTATTTAAGCGTTCAGATGACCTGTGTTTGAAAGTTATTGTGGAACTCTAACTCTGAAATGATTGTGTGTGTTTGTGGCATAGATTTTCTTTTCTTTTTTGAGACAGGCTTTCACTCCGTTGCCTAGGTTGGAGTGCAGTCACAGCTCACTGCAGCCTCGACGTCCCCAGGCTCAGGTGATCCTCTCAGCTCAGCCTCCCCAGTGGCTGGGACTACAGGCACCTAACACCACACCAGGCTAATTTTTTTTTTTTTTTTTTTTTTTTTTTTTGAGACAGAGTCTTGCTCTGTCGCCCAGGCTGGAGTGCAGTGGCACGATCTCTGCTCAATGCAAGCTCTGCCTCCCAGGTTCACGCCATTCCCCTGCCTCAGCCTCCTGAGTAGCTGGAACTACAGGCTCTCGCCACCACGCCAAGCAATTTTTGTATTTTTTTTTTAGAGATGGGGTTTCACTGTGTTAGCTAGGATGGTCTCAATCTCCTGACCTCGTGATTCGCCCGCCTCAGCCTCCCAAAGTGCTGGGATTACAGGCGTGAGCCACCATGCCTGGCCTCACACCAGGCTAATTTTTTTATATTTTTGGTAGAAATGGGGCTTTGCCATGTTGCCTAGCCTAGTCTTAAACTCCTGGGTTCAAACGATCCCTCCTAAAATGCTGGGATTATAGGCGTGAGCCACCATAGCCAGCTTGTGGCATAGATTTTATATCAAGGTTTAAAAAAAGAAAAAACACACATTTGTTTTGCTCAAACAAAAACCAAGGTTCTGCTCTTTTTTGTAGTTACATTTTTAACTCATGTGGTGCCATTTTTAAAGGAATTACTAATTTTGTGGAGTAGTCTGATTATCCAAAGGCAGGCTGGGATAGTACAAAGTGCTTTGAAGTCAAACTTTTGGCCCACTGTGTGAACTGTGTGAACTTGGACAAATCACATGACTTCTCTGAGACTGTTTTCTGTATGCTAAACATGACCAGTAACCTTCTCTCCTGGGATTTTATGATTAAATGAGATAATGTATGCAATGTCTATAATAAAGAAGCAAGTTATGATCTATATAACATTGACTAAGCACTATCCTCCCACTTTCTCCATCTCATTGCCAATATCTTAGCCAAAGTAACCATTTGTGTCTCATTTGGACAAGTGTCATATTCACTTAACTGTCTCTCCCTACTTCCCATTGCCTTTTTCTCCATATGGCATGCTGCTAGAATGATGTATTTAAGAAGCAAACATGATCTGATCAGTGCATGCTAAACTCTTCCAAGGCTTTCCATTGCTCTGAGAATATGGTCTAAGAAGTTTCTGCATGGTGTGGCTCCTGCTACCACTCAGCCACTTCAGAGTCATGTTCCCCATAGATCTCATCATTCAAGCCATCCACCTTTCCCGTGATTTCTTGCATGTGCCCTGCTCTGCTACACCATCCTCTTTCCCTTGGGACCCCTCCTTACTCAGACCAGTCTTTCTGCTCACGGATGTTTATTCTGTACCTAGTTGGTTGATACCTACTCTTCTTTTAGATTTCTACTCCTTTATTGCCCTTCCAGCTCCTTCCCCATTTTCCTGACCTCCCATTGCCTAGCCAGGTCTGATTCCTCCCTCCCATAGGGCCATAGTCTTCTACAAAACACTTAGCAAAGTTATAATTTATTTGTGATCATTTAATCAGTGTTTATCTTATTTTCTAGAATAAAAGCATCATGATATTAAGGGCTAGGTCTGTATTTCTAACACCTGGTAGATGACCCTCCATCAATATTTGCTGGATGAATTAACTTTTGAATGTCAGGGACCCCTTAAGCTTTTCACATTGGCCCCTTATAATGACACTGTGAGGCAGATGTTATGATCCCTCTCTTATAGAAGATTATAGAAGAGAAAAATGAGGTTCATGGCATTTTAGAAGGATTTTGCTCAAGATTACACAGCACATAGAGTGTGGTACTATGATTTGCATGCAGGTTGCTCTGCAGCTGAATCTTGTACCCTTAGCCACTGGCCTTTGCTAACTCCTAAAGAGTAGTGAGTGCTCAGAATGTGGTTGCTCTGGTTACAATAAGAAATGGTCTCGGCCGGGCACAGTGGCTCATGCCTGTAATCCTAGCACTTTGGGAAGCTGAGGCAGGCAGATCATGAGGTCGAGAGATCAAGACCATCCTCGCCAACATGGTGAAACCCCTTCTCTACTAAAAATACAATAATTAGCTCAGCATGGTGGCACATGCCTGTAGTCCCAGCTACTCAGGAGGCTGAGGCAGGAGAATTGCTTGAACCCTGGAGGCAGAGGTTGCTGTAAGCCAAGATTGTACACTGTACTCCAACCTAGTGACAGAGCAAAACTTTGTCTCAAAAAAAAAAAAAAAGAAAGAAAGAAAAGAAAAACAAATGGGTCTCATCTCATCTAGCGCTGTCTGTTTTGTGTATTATCAAAGTACCTGGACTTTATGGAATCCTCTGTACTTCATTGTCAATCATTTATTGGTGCTAAAAAGGGTCAGACACTGTGCTATTGCAGGGAAGCCCATGTTTTGGAGTAAAATGCACAAATAATTTATCTTGCCTTGCAAACACATTTTTTTTTTTTGTCATTGCAATGTGCACAAAGGGCCATGAGGACCTGCAAGAAAGCCTGCCTTATTCTGACCAGGAGTGGGGAGCTGATGAGAGGCTTCACAGAGCAGGTGATGTTTAGAGAGGAATGTCTGCCATTTCCTAGAAGCCTGTGAGGCTCTGAAAACCAGGAATCAAGTTTCCCTTGTGAACTCAGTTCTCAACTGTGCAGGGATAGGGTTCCCAGGTATGCCTCTACGTGTAGAGGCTCTATTATTCCCTGGATATACATTGATATGCATGTACAATGCTGGAACCACCAGCCCCCAGGTCCTCTTCCCAAGTTTGCATGTTTTTTGACCCATGTCACATTTTAAGTTTTTTCAGTTGACATGTTTTTAGGCAGAGTTCCCAAAACATCCATCACTTTGCCACAGTTCCCTGTCATTCCATATTGTCTTGCACTGACATGATTCACTTATTGATATTACCTGTCGGGTCCCTATGGCCTTTGAGTTTGCAGACAGTGTATGCAGAGTACCAGGAGAAAATACTTCTTGAAATGGGAAGCCAGCCAAATGTTGTGGAAAGAGAACTGAACTATCATTTGGAGTCCTGAATTTGCTCTTGACCTGGCAGGGACCTGTGACCATGGATGCTTTTTTAATCTTCTGTTGCCTGATGGATCTGTTAGGAATAGTAATCCCTGCTTTGTCTCCATCATGGGCTTATTGTGTAAACTAAATGAGATAATGGGCATGAGAAAATTTTGTAAACAGAGAAATGGCATCCAAATATAAGGGACTATAATTAAGAATGAGTTTGACTTCAGACAGTGAGCAAGCAGGCCATGAATAGCCTGCCCTATGATTTCTGACACTTGCCACAGGAGGAAAGGACTAATTAAGAGTGCAAGAGTTACAGAGTCATGACACACAGGCACAAAGGGAGAAGGTCTCCTGCTTCCAATCTCCAGCATGGAGGAGTAGGAGAAACGAGATAACATTAGTTGCAGCAGAGTAACAGGGATATACAACAATTACCCAGATAATCACATTACATTGTATTGCATTGGTTTGCAGCAATATGTTATGGCATCAATTATAAAGTGGAACATTAAACACTCTAGTTTTAAACCACTTAATAGTATTAAGAAAACGTCATTCAATAGTGAATTGTATTTATTTTTCAACATACAAAAGGGAGGAAGTGTTTTTCTAGCCTTAATTTATAACTGGAAGTTTATTGATAAGGCATTTTATTTCATAGGGCTTAATTTTATGCATAGTAGTAGTTGCAGTTGTCTGGTGATGATTTATGCATTTGTAATTATTTCTAACCTCTGTTTAAAATTCTCCCTTAACTTTCCACATTTGATGACTTTCCAAATACAAATGCTGGCTTAGAGTCAGCCCAGTTTTTCAGCCATGAAAGCCAGAGAGGAACCAAAAAGATGGGTGATGCACATATCAGCCACCTGCCCTCCCCAGGCTGCCACCTCTGAACTGTGATAATAATGTACCATTAACCTCTGTCTCTTCAAGTCAAAAGACTTCCAGAGTGCAAAAGGCCCCTGATGCTACATTTTCATAGAATATGGTGCATTTTCTTTGTGATTCACCATGAGATGCTATCATAGCTTATGGAGAAATATTATTAACTTTAATTTACTGAAATTGAGTGCTCTATGAAACATTGAATCCAGCTGCTTTCTCCTAACTAGTAAACACATTTATTAAAACAAAAAGATTAGTAATTTATTGTGCCCTACCTGACTGATTCACATAAACCATGAAAATAACATTTTCACAACCTAGGACTCGATATTTTATTTTATTTCTGTTTGTTTGTACTGCTCTGAGACCTATGCTAAGAGACTAATAGCACTATCAGACTTCTCAGATCCAACATCATAAAACAATTTGTCTTGGAGTCATTTACTTTGTGGAAGAAAACATATACTTGACTCTTTGTTGTAAATCAGAATATTACCCAGCATGTTGTCATAGCTGAGGGTTTTCTCTCTAGTACATAGTGATGGGTAAGTTGAAAAGGACTGGTTCTTGGGATTCTTTCTTTTATGGAAAGAATTGTACTTTTATTTTCCTCATAGATTCCTGGGCATGCCCCTGGCGTAGGCTGGATCCTTCTGTGTTCTTGTAACCTTGACAATATTTCTGAGAACACATTTATTCTGTTCTGTGTAACTTCTCTTTTATAGGGATCTCTCCTTCTCCAAAGTGAATTACTCAGGAGCTGACTCTCAATTTGTTAATGTTTATGGCCCTGTTATGAGTAGAGTATTAGATAGGTAGTGGGCATGCAATTGATTGTGGTTAAATACATGAATGGTTTTTGTCTTCTGTCATTTTCCTCTTCAGAGTCATAAGGAAAGAAATCGATAGAACTTTGGTGATTTAAAGTTAGGAATAACTTTTATCACCTTGCTGGTATTGGTATCTTGTCATTTGTTAAATTAAAAAGTATATATATAATGGATAAGAATGATGAGGCTCTGGAGTTAGCCAGACATGGGGTCAGGTGTTCCCTCTCTGTGCTTACCAGCTGCATGACCTTGTGAACTTAACTGCCTCAGTTTTCTGATCTGTACAAGGGTGTAGCATAATAGAGAAAGCTGATCTCACTTCTGTACAGCACCACTGGTCAATCTTTGATCAACATGCAGAAGTGTCAGTGGGTTAAGGAACTATTCAGAGAAATGCAGTGGATTATCCATAGGGTACTGATTATCCATAGGGTACTGATTATCCATAGGGTGCAACTTTCACATGTGAAAGTTAGTTGGAAATCTAGAGATCGAGAAAGTTTAAGCTGTTTCTTTTCTGAGACTTATTTCCTTATAAAATCTTTCTGCCTTGTTGCTAGATAGCAGCCTTTTAAAATTCCATCAGTTGATCTTTCTTCCTCTTCCCATCACATCCCCCAAATTGTTGATATCTTGGCCATGAAAAGAGACCTTCTGTGAATATCACACAAAGCCTGGTTACTTTCAAGCACCATCCCTAGAGTTGTTACAGGGATTCACTGAGATTATGTTTACAAAGTGTTCAGCACAGTCCCTAGCACACAGTGAACCATTTAATAAACATTAGCTGTTGTTTTTATCATTGTTGCCCAGGCACAGTTGCAATTGCATGTGGCTAGAATTGATATAAAAACATTACTGGTTTCTGAGAAATGCAAGGTGTTTTGCAGGTATGGCTCATGAATATTAAACACTTCTCTGAGAAGCTGTCCAAGGAATGACAATGACCTGCACCACAAACAGTGAGTCTGAAAGCTTACATTGAAATCGGCATGAATAGTACATACTGGTGTGTGGGTGATGTCAACTATAGCAGTGACATGAGTTTGGCATCAAACTACCCCTCCTCGGAGCGCCTTAGACTTTGATTTTGTCTCAGGCTCCTGGGATAAATGCCAAGGTTGGGTGTGTGTCTGTATCAGGTATTCATGGTAAGCAGTGGGTGATACCAGTCTATCAGTCTTGGACCACAGGCCGACTCTATGCTGGAAGAGGCTATAGCTACCACTTGGCTCATCAGTGGAGCTTCTGTCTTGGCATTGTATATTCTGTTTCAATTTCTGAGGAGGGTGGTGGAAAACATGCTGGTCTTGGAAACTTGCATTAAATTTAAATTACAAGAGATAGAGTTCATAGAATAATAGAAGGCCTAGAGCTGGCAGGGACCTCAAGTCTTAATCTATAGTAACAATGAGCCAGTATTTATTGAATAGGTACTACATGGCAGGTACTTCACTAAGTGATTTTCATATATTCTAATTCTAATATAATTCTTGCTATAGCCCTGCAAATTAAGCAATATTTTACCTATCCTTGTATGCAACAGGTACAGGCTAAATGTTTTGCACATGTAAAACCTCATTTAATCTTTATAACTTTCAGTGGGGCGGGTGATATTTTCTTTGGAAATGGAAAGACAGAACATTGGAGAACCAAATGCCTGTTTAGCCATAAATATTTACTAAGTGACAGAGCAGGATGATCAACCCAAGGGTCTCTGACAGCAAAACATAGACACCCAACTACTGTACTCTTCTGCCTTACCTGTTGCTTACTGTGGTTGAGGCCAAGAACTGAAAGGGACATGCCCCGGATTGTACAGGATGTTGAGTGGGTCCTCTTCAGGATCAGAGTTCCTTCCATGCTCTCAAACTCTCTGTGTGAACTTGCATGGCTTCCAGGGTTCTTAATAGTCCTTGATATGGTTTGGCTGTGTCTCCACTCAAATCTCATCTTGAATTCCCAGATGTTGTGGGAGGGGCCCTGTGGAAGGTAATTGAATCATGTGAGCAGGTCTTTCCCATGCTGTTCTTGTGATAGTGAATAAGTCCCATGAGATTTGATGGTTCTATAATGGGTAGTTTCCCTGCACAAGCTCTCCCTTTGCCTGCCACCATCTGTGTAAGAGGTGACTTGCTCCTCCTTGCCCTCTGCCATGATTGTGAGGCTTCCCCAGCCACACGGAACTGTGAGTTCTCCATTAAACCTCTTTCCTGTGTAAATTGCCCAGTCTCTGATATGTCTTTATCAGCAGCATGAAAACAGACTAATATAGTCCTCCTCTGGTGTTGTGAGTCATTCTCCTTAGTGGGTACCTTGAATTGAAGTTTCCCATGTTTAGAACATGGGAAAAAAGGAAACAAAACAAACAAACACAAAATAATAAAGTTTTCTATGTTTGGTTTTACTCTGAGTTATGAGCAGAACCAGGCTGTAACAGCCACGGCAAAGTGATTTTCCTGATTGGTGTCAGCTCTGCAGATACCATTTGTATCTGTGTAAGCAGAGCTCTGCTTATCACTGTCCTCACTAAACTATTGGGAAGGGAAGGACAGTCTCTGTTTTCAAGTTATTGATGATTGAAGTCATCAATACTTTTATAACATTACACAAGTGAAATTTGCAAAAAGATAATTTGCAAGTGTAGTTTCACATTTCATGTGGCCTAGACCAGGGTTATGGACCAGTTCTGGTCCATGGCCTGTTAGCAACCAGGCTGCACAGCAGCAGGTAGGTGATAAGCCAGCAAACATTACTGCCTGAGCTCCGCCTCCTGTCAGATCAATAGTGGCATTTGATTCTCACAGGCGCACAGACTGTATTGTGAACTGCGCATGTGAGGGATCTAGGTTGTGCACTCCTTATGAGGATCTACTGCCTGAAGATCTGAAGTACAACAGTTTCATCCCCAAATCACCACCCCAGCCCAGCCCAGTCCATGGAAAAATTGTCTTCCACAAAACTGGTCTTTGGTGCAAAAGGTTGGGGACCACTGGCCTAGACTGATTGACTGTGGCTCTTTTTTCTTCTATATGGATATGACAATTCTGAAAGGCTAACTACCTCCTATTTTATGCCTTTCTTGTCCTCAGGGAAGTTGGTGGTCAGTTTACCATGATATTTGGTCATGAGGTTGGTGTATTATTCTGTGATCAAAAAGCTTTTCGAGTTATTTTTATTTTTATTTTTTAAATTTGTTTTAGAGTCAAGATTGTGCTATATTGCCTAGGGTGATCTCAAACTCCTGGGCTCAAGTGATCCTCCTGCCTTGGCCTCTCAAAGCACTAGGATTATAGGCATGAGCCACTACACCCGGCCCAACTTTTCAAGATTTGATGAAGCTTCCAATTTGTCTCAAACCCTGTTGTAATAAATTTTTATTATAATATTTAGAAATTAGCCTTGGTTGAGCAAATGTTTTCAGTATCATAGCTAAGGGGCTGAAATTAATATTTCAGTTATGTAAAATGTAGAACATTATGGTGTTACAAGTGAATTTCATGCACCATCCCCTTCTCTCTCTCTCACCAGCTTTTTTCTCTATATTGCTTATTCATTGCATTCCTGTTTTTATTTTCTCTTTCTGAAATGTAACATTCTACATAGGTGATATTAATGCAGAATAACCATTTATATTTATTATTTAAGACTTTTTTGAAAAACTGTTTCTGAGATCACAAGCAATGACACTGTGCTTGAAATCCCAGAAACATCTTTAAATATGCACATTCTGCTGCTCAGGGCTCGTGTACAAGATAGCACATGGGCAAGGACGTGTTATCTTCTTTGAATCCGTAAGTTAGCAACGTGCATATTTCACTGTAAAGAGTAATCATGGTGAGATGTTCGCCGTCAGGAAGTAAATGACCAAATTTATTTTTGATTAGTAAAGTGCCACATTTTGAGACATCTTTCCTTTCTTTTCTTCCTCTCCATCCAGTGGACAGGTTATCTTGTTTCAACTCTTAGCTCTGTATTGACCTCCAAATCTTAGTTACTATCACATACTTCTCAACTGTTATCAAATTCATTAGGTTGAACAGCTTTCAAGCCATTAACTCTGCTGCCAGGAGGCAAGAGATATTTTCCACGAAGTAACTTATGTCACATTTCTGCACATACATTTCATCAGGTTAGCTTATGTCAAAGCAACTTCCAGGAACAGATCCACAAGCAGATTTTATTATCCTCACCATCATCATAATAATTTTTGAGATGTTTATCTCACCATTGTTATCATCATCACTCTCTCCATCACCCTCTGCATCATACCATCAACACCCTCTCCATCATCATCTCTATCACCTTCTCCATCATCCTCAGCATCACCTTCTCCATCGCCTTATCCATCATCCTCACCATCATCCTCTCCATCATCCTCACCAACACCCTCTCTATCATCATCTCCATCACCCTCATCTACACCCTCTCCATCACCCTTTCCATCATCCTGTCTGTCACCATCTCCATCATCATCTCCATCACCATCTCCATCATCCTCACCATCATCCTGTCTGTCACCATCTCCATCATCATCTCCATCACCATCTCCATCATCCTCCCCATCACCCTCCCCATCACCTTCTCCATCATCCTCTCCACCATCATCTCCATCATCATCTCCATCATCCTCACTATTGTCCTAACCATTATTGTCATATCTGCCAATTTTTGAGCCCTGACTATATGCCAAAAAAGTGTGCTAAGTACATTTC